CTTTAGGAAAAAAAAAAAAAAAAAGGAAGAAACTGGCACCCATTTGCCCATCTGTAGTCACACACAGATTATGATCAAAGCAGTAACAGTGGACTCTGTTACAAGGTGAGGTCTGTGTGTGCTCACTTCACCATCAATGTGATTACTCTGGAGAATGGGTCTCTTGTTGAAATCTGAATTTTCTTTGGTGAAAAGTACACTGGAAGGATTCAGATGTTACCGGTGTTGCTCATGCAGTATCTCAGACCCAGAAAGATGAATTAATTCTTGCAAGAAATGACATTGAACTCTTTTCAAACTCAGCTGCTTTGACTCAGCAGTCAGCAACAGTTAAAAACAAGGGTAACAGAAACTTTTTGGATGGTATCTATGCCTCTGAAAAAGGAATGGCTCAGGGGCCGGCGCTGTGGCACAGAGAGTTAAAGCCCAGCCATCAGTGCCAGCATCTCATATGGGACCAGTTCGAGTCCCAGCTGCTCCACTTCTGATCCAGCTCTCTGCTATGGCCTGGAAAAGCAGTAGAAGATGGCCCAAGTACTTGGGCCCCTGCACCTGCGTGGGAGACCCAAAGAAGCTCCTGGCTCCTGGCTTCAGACCAGCACAGCTCTGGCCGTCGCGGCCAACTGGGGAGTGAACCAGCGGTGGAAGCCCTCTCTCTCTCTCTGCCTCTCCTTCACTCTCTGTGTAACTGTTTCAAATAAAATAAACAAATCTTTTTAAAAAATCATCTGACTACAGAAACAATAACCCAAATTATGTCTAAGTTTTGATATTTTAATAATGCAATAAAAGATCTATTGTTGATTTGAAAAAAAAAAACAAAGAAAAAAACTCACAAAATTGCAGTGGGTGCACCTCATCGATTGTGTGTCCAGGCTGTCATTGCAGACGAGCTGGGAAAGCAGTCTCTTGTAAGATGAGGCATTCCCAAATCCAAATCCAAGGAGGCAAACCATGCACATGTTCTCTGTAGCAATGCCACCTCCGGAACTTCAGCACACAGTCCTTTGAAGATCTTGTTACAACAGAGACTGATTCAGTAGGTCCAGGGTGGGGCTGCGATTCCACAGCACCCAGCTGATGTGAAACTGCTGGCCTCAGGATCACACTCTGAATAGCAAAGCTTTAGAACACCATTCTTCAGACTTTTGGCTGCATACTGGAGTTAGGAGACACAATACGAATAAAAATACTGATGTCTGGGTCTCACCTTCGGCTGATTTAATTGGTCTCGGGTAAGGGGTGGACAAACGAATTCTTCAGTGCTCCTCTTGTGATTCTCAGGTACCAGAACAGCAGGCTTCACAGCTCACTTTGCAGGCCATCTTTTCTCTACGTTGCAGAGCTTCCACTCCCCCCACCCCTCAGGTTTCTCCTTTGAAATGGTAATTATTGTCATTTATTATGCAAAACATTTGATGCTCTGCCCAGCGACCTAACTCTCCATATCTAAAGACTACCTAGAATTAACATAATACATTACCTGTTACCCTAGGAGAATGTGATTTGAAGTGATGCATACAAACATTGTTTTAGATTTTAATAGTTATAGATGTATTTTAGTTGCATTACTAAAAAACATAAGCAACACAATGAGTCTTATTTCACAAATATCATTGCTTTTGATAATAACTAAAGATGGTCAAATAATAATAGATTCAGGAAAGGTACAACAAAAATCCTGAAAATGGCTTGCAGACCCAGAGTCCCACACTAATGTCAGACTTCTGTCCGAAGTCCTAAACTTTGGGAGCACACAAGAACTGGCAGAGGTGTCTACAAAGCTCAGCCTTTTTCCTTCTATCTCCTCCTTTCAGAGGATAAAGAAGCAATATAGAGATTTATAGCCAAACTTATATGAATTATGCTATTATTCTTAACACATTCGAAGTACAGTCAATTCTGATCTTAAATAACAATTGTTAAGTGAATATTTCATAAGGTTTTAAGAAAATTCCAATAACTTTTGAAAAATTCATGATCTAAAAGGAAGAATCATTTATGAAATAACAAGGTAAATTCCTTAAGCTATCTTAGACAAGAAAATGAGTGAAAATTTTTTAGAATTGTTAAGAGATAATACACACATCCAGAGAACTCTGGAATTCCTAAGCAGAGGAGAATTTTTAAACCCCACACCTAATCATGTCATTATGAAACTTTAGAACACCAAAGAAAAATAGGTCTTAACCAGCAGTTACACTGACAGCAGATTTTCTCTTAGCAATAGAAACCACAAGATAACACAATCACATATTCAATATTCTGAGGGGGATTTAAAACCCCTGTAAACCTAGAATTACATATCCAATAGAATTATCTTGAAGGAACAAGTGCAAAATTAAAGTATTTCAGATGGAAAAAAACCTGTGAGTTGCCCACATAACACTCAAATTCTGAAGAATTTACTAAAGAAAAAATAATCCAGAAGATATACGATGGGCAAAGAAATAGTAAGCAAAATGTTCTTTACTCATAATTCTGAGTGGGTCTAAACAATGTTTAATTTGTAGAAGGAAAACAAGATAGAATAAAATAGTAAATAATAACGTAAATGGGAGGGAGGACACACGTGGGTGCAGAATTAAAACATTCTTTTTTTTTTTTTTTTCACATTTTTTTTGACAGGCAGAGTGGACAGTGAGAGAGAGAGAGAGAGAAAGGTCTTCCTTCTGTTGGTTCACCCCCCAGTGGCCGCTGCAGCCAGTGCACCACGCTGATCTGAAGCCAGGAGCCAGGTGCTTCTCCTGGTCTCCCATGCGGGTACAGGGCCCAAGGACCTGGGCCATCCTCCACTGCCTTCCCGGGCCACAGCAGAGAGCTGGACAGGAAGAGGAGCAACCGGGACGGAATCCGGCGCCCCAACCAGGACCAGAACCCAGGGTGCCAGCGCCACAGGCGGAGGATTAGCCTAGTGAGCCACAGCCCCAACCGAATTAAAACATTCTAAGACCTCTGCCTCTTCTTCAAGAGGAGAGTAAATATACGGACTTTGTATTTTAACTGAGGATCTTAAAATAGTAAAAAAAAAAAAAAAATCACACATACAGAGAATATTACTCCAGAGATGAGGAGGAATGGTGTGAGAAAAGGAACACACAATCCTGAAGCAGCTTCTGTAAGTTTTCCACACTTTTAAACTGCTTTTGCTTTTGTTGCGTGTCATTCTCATTCGTGGTAAGTACTGGTTTATAATTTTTTGTGTGTGAGCCTGTCTTTAAAGGGTCATTTTCTTATGAGAATCCCTTTCTTTACAGGTTATGGAGGCATCCTCTGCATGTTGGTTTTATGTTTGCTTCTGACAGGCATTTCAGATGCGCCATCTCTGGGACCTGGAAGAAGCTCCTGGCTCCTGGCTTTGTTGCAGCCATCCATGGATGGAAGACTTCCTTTCTGTCTTGCCTTCTCTCTCTCTGTGGCTCTTTCAAATAAATTTTAAAACAAAAGGAAAAAGAAGAAAATGCATGTCTAGGGGCTGGCATTGTGGTATAGTAGGTTAAGCTGCCTCCTATGACGCCAGCATCCTCTATAAGTCCCAGCTGCTCCACTTCCGATCCAGCCCCCCTGCTGATGTGCCTCGAAAACAGCAGCGGATGGCCCCAGTACTTGGGCCCCTGCAGCCACTTGGGAGTCTCAGATGGCGTTCCAGGCTCCTGGCTTCAGCTTCTAGCTCATTTTAAACCCATGGATTAAGACACTCTGTCTCTCCTTGTCACTCTGCCTTTCAACTAAATTTTATTTAGAAAAGAACTGCAAGTTTGATTTCAAAGTTTATTTTTTCTTAAACCCAAAGTGAGGGCAGCTTCCTCATCTACTTGTCCATGGGTATTTTATATTTTCCCTGGCCCACCCTCTTCCTGAAGATGATCCCTTTCTGGGAAAGTGACTTTGCAGGCTACTCCTTTCTGGCTCCTAACCTAACCTACTCTAAGCCCTCACTTCCCACCCCCATACATCTAGGCCTCGTCACAGATTAACACCACCTTCTCTACACCTAGGATGCTCAGCTGTCTTGGTGTGCTTGGGAGACGGGCGATTTTCCATCTTGAAACCAGGACAGTCCTGAGCAAACTGGTAGAACTGGTCACCCTGGAACCCAGTGCCCATACCCACAGCCAGAGATGAATTGGTTTATCAAGTCATTGCTGTGGCTTTCAGTTTATGTTAATTTTTGATACCTTGGGATTTTCCTCTTCTATGGATTTAGCTTTATATTGAAAATAAGGTTATTATTTTATCTAGCATTACCAGGTGTTGGTAGTGAATTTTCATGTTAGAGAAGTCCACTATTTGCCAGCTCTAAAAATAATATTTTGATGCTTTTCCAAAGTATAACAGTGAATTTTGAGGATAACAGTCATAGCTAGTCACCCCCGTGGACATAAAGTACCGGAGGTTCTCAAAGTAACAGCCCCACAGCGCCCACTTACTACAAGTCCTATCCCGCGGGCCTTGAGAATGTTCTAGAATTCTCCAGGCAGGCCTAGCGGCTTCTGGTTGCTGCTGGAAGATAAACTTTTCCATTGGCACCCAAACTTCCCTAATGAAGTGATAGTCTCTGCTGTTTGTGCACTTCTTCACCCTGGGTACCCGGCGATCATAGTTATTCGGTAACTGTCTCATGAACCGAGGACGTCTGGACCGGCCCAGCGCCCTTCAATCCAACCCCATCTACCTCAAACTTTACAGAGAAGCGCCCTCGCTTCCGGCCTGTTGATACTCCCTAACCTGTTTTCCCGACTAGTTTCTTCCGTTGCCCTTATTTCCTCTCTCCACAGGCATCTCAGTGGATTTTGGGGTACGGCCACAGGGCTAATCCTGTGCGTTCAAGACGCCATCTTGAAACCAGAGACTAGACGTGTCAAAATTTAACGTATTCCGATCTCCCCCTCGCAAGGGTGCTCCAAAGGCGTTTTCGAGATAGGGTGTACCCCCGGAGCCGCCGTCCGCGTGTGCGAGGGCGCCATGCTGGGCGCCGTCGCCCCCCCAGGCCCCCCACGCGGCGGCGGCGCTGTCACCCATTGGCTGAGGCGGCGCCCACGCGCCCCAGTGCCCGCGCCATCGGCCGCTCCGGGAGCCCCTCGGGCCACGCCTCAGTCCGCCCGCGCCCCTCCTCAGACCACCAGCCTCTCGGGGCGCCTCCGGCTCTGCCGCCGCCCGTTCTGGTCGCTCTGGTTCCTCTGCCCGGTCCAGAGCGGGCAGCGGGCACGAGCACACCCCACAGCGGCCCCCGGAGTGGTGCCCCAAGCGCGGCGGCCTCCTCCTCCTCCTCCTCGGCTGCCGCCATCATGGTGAGTAGAGGCGGAGGGCCGCGAGGCGGCGGGGGCCGGGCCGGCAGGGTCTCCACGGCTGGGCACAACGGCTTTCTGGGTGTGGCGCAGGGAGAGGGGCCGGAAGTGGGGTCGCCCCCAGCCCGGCTTCGCAGGCCGCGGCGTGGCGGGTGCGGCCCAGGGACGCTGGGCTCGTCCGGCCTACACGTGAGAGGCCTGCGTCCTCCTCGCGGCCACACTCTCCGCCACTGTGGACTTGGGCCGCGCTGAGCGGTCGGGTTTCTTTGGCCAGCGGAGGTTTGGGGGAACAAGGTTCCTCCCCTTCTTCCTGCCCCCCCCCCCAACCCCGGAGGCCTGCCATCTCGCGTCCATGGCGGCCTGCGAGATGGCGGCGGGAGCCGGACGCCTCCTAGCGTGGCTGAGCTGAGGAGCCCCTCTGGTGGGACTGCCCGACGCCAGCTTCCTCGGGAACGGCCGCTTGGTCGTCGCCTGGGGGGGGCGGTGGCCCTGCGGCGCCGAGCAGGCACTTGAGGGCACCGGCGCATGCGTGCCTCCGTGCGTGAGTGCGTAGCGTGCGTGGTGGGAGGAGCCACTGGCGTGGCTTCCGGGAAGGCTGGCGGCGGCCGCCCTCGCCGAAGGTCGCTTGCCGCCATCGTGGCCGCGCGAGGCTTGGACTCAGGGATTGCGCTGGAGAAGTGTGGAATTTTTTTTTAAATTAGGGAATGCTTGTTTCTCTCTGGACATACCAGGAGCTTTTAGCAAAATGTGCATTGTGCAGCTAGTCTTCGGTGTGCATTTGTGAGTTTGGGTAAACGCATCGCGCCGGTTGACAAACGCTGCAGGACGCGGCCCTGAGCGAGTGGACCCACCAGTAGGTCAGAAACGTGTGTTACAGACAGTGTGTAACCGTTTGTAGGACAGCAGTTCTTTCCATTCTTAGAGATAAGAGGAAACGTATACACAGTTCATATTATCAAATATTAACATACATTTTTCTTTAAGTATTTGTATAACAGTAATGATCCATGTTCCTGGTTTTAAATCATCATGAGTTGTTAAAATTAATAATTATTGATAATTTCCTCCCCTTATTAGAGGTAAAGTGGGGAAATGGCTAATATTTGCAAGGCAGAGAGGCGGAGAGAGGGGTTCTCCAGATGGCCCAGGTAGCTACTCTGAAGGAGCCAGGAACAACTTCTGGGTCTCGGTCTCCCACGAGGGTGCAGGGGTCCAGGTACGTGGGCCATCTTCCACTGCTTTTCCAGGCCGTAGCAGAGAGCTGGATCGGAATTGGAGCAGTCGGTACTCAAACCAGCGCCTATATGGGATGCTGGCACTGTAGGCCACGGCCTTACCCGCTAGGCCACAGCACTGCCCTGTCCCTAACAGTTTTACCGGGTTTTTTTCTAAATACAAAAGTGTATTCATGGGGCCAGCACTGTGGCGTGGTGGATAAAGCCGCCACCTGCAGTGGCAGCATACCATATAGGCGCTGGTTTGAGTCCGGGCTGCTCCAGTTCCAGTTCAGCTCTCTGCTATGGCCTGGGAAAGCAGTGGAAGACTTGGACCCTGCACCCACGTAGGAGACCTGGAAGAAGCCCCTGGTTCCTGACTTGGGATGGGCGCAGCTCTGGCCGTTGCAGCCAACTGGGGAGTGAACCAGCGGATGGAGGACCTCTCTCTCTCTGCCTCTCCTCTATGTGTAACTGTGACTTTCAAATAAATAATTAAATCTTTTTTTAAAAGTGGATTTATTTGAAAGTAATCCCTTTTGGAAAATGGAGACCCATCTTAATCCCAACACCCATAATCCTGTTACATGGTGAAACGTGCATGCCCTTCCAGATTGTTTTTATGCTTATATTGCTTGTAGGTAGGTAGGTTTTATTTTACAAAAGTGCGTCATGCTATATTGTACAGCTTTACAACCTGAATCTTCAAATCAATAATGTAGTGGACAGTAATCAAAGGTAAATGTAACTGAGTATATAATGTTAAAAATTGTACCAGAATTTGTTTTACTAAGTTTCCTTGTGATGAATACTTTTCCAATATTAAAACAATACTACAATGGATATCATTGTGCAAATATCTTGGCGGGCTTGTACTGTTGATTTCTTCGGATAAATTTCTGGAAGTGGGTGGAAATGGCTGCACCCATTTTATAACAATTTTAAATTATAATAAGTCCTTCCAGGCTTCTTTTGCTGAAGCATATATTGGTTTGTTTTCCCACTGATGATGTATAAAGTGATTTCCACACACTTTCCAATGAGAGGCTGGATTACTTCTTATTCTTGCCAACCTAGAAGCTGGAGAAGTATTTCACTATGTTGATGGGCTTTGTTTTTTTATTTTTTAAGACTGTACTTAATCAAAAGTGAGAGTTAGAGAGACAGGAAGAGAAACGGATCTTTCATCCACTGGTTCACCCCAAATGGCCACAGGCTGTGCCAGGCTGAAGCCAGGAACCAGCAGCTTCATCCAGGTCTGCCACATAGGTACAGGGGCCCAAGTATTTGGGCCATCTTCTACTGCCTCCCCAGGCACATTAGCAGAAACCTGGATCACAAGTGGAGCTGCCAGGACCCAAACCGGTGTCCACATGGGATGCCAGTGTCACAGGTGGCAGCCTAACCTACTACGCCACAACACCAGCCCCAATGTGCTTTTTGAAAAAAATCATTAGTGTCTGTCTGTATAAATTTTTAGTCTACCTTTTCACTTGTACATTTTTCTTTTTTTTTTTTTAAAGATTTATTTTATTTATTTGAAAGACAGAGTTACAGAGAGAGGTAGAGACAGAGAGGGAGGTCTTCCATCTGCTGGTTCACTCCCCAGATGGCTGCAATGGCCGGGGCTGCATCGATCTGAAGCCAGCAGCCAGGAGCTTCTTCTGGGTCTCCCACGGGGGTGCAGGGGCCCAAGCACTCAGGCCATCTTCTGCTGCTTTCCCAGGCCACTGCAAAGAGCTAGAGCAGAAGAGGAGCAGCCAGGACTAGAACCAGCACCTATATGGGTTGCTGGCACTGCAGACTAGGGCTTTAACCCACTGCACCACAGTGCTGGCCCCTACATTTTTCTTTTTCTTACTAACTCAGAAAAACTCAGTTGTTTGCCGTACATGGTGCCCTTACTTTATTCCTAATTTCAATGGAAATAACTTGGTGTTTCACATTAAGCTTGATAATACTTTAGAATTAGATCTATAGTAAATACAATGTTTTTGTTTTATTGTTTTTTTTAAAGATTTATTTATTTATTTGAAAGAGCTACACAGAGAAAGGAGAGATAGACAAAGAGAGAGGTCTTCCATCTGCTGGTTCATTCCCCAGATGGCTGCAAAAGCTGGAGTTGCGCCAATCCGAAGCCAGGAGCTACTTCCTGGTCTCTCATGCAGCTGCAGGGGCCCAAGGACTTGGGCCATCTTCCACTGGCCTCCCAGGCCATAAAAGAGAGCTGGATCAGAAGAGGAGCAGCTGGCACTTCAGGCCAGAGCGTTAACCTGCTGCACCACAGCGCCAGCCCCTATTGGCGATTTTTAAAAATTTAAAGTAAATGCTGTGTTTTCTCATTCTTTTTGAATGGTGAATTAAAGTAACAGGCTTCCTAAAGGTATACCATTTTTTTATTTCCAATATAAACTGTACTTATTCCATGTTTTTTATATATCACTGGAATTTTGTTTTATTTATTTCAAAGGAGGGACAGAGAGAGATCTTGCATCCACTGGTTCCCTTTCCAAATGGCTGCAATGGCCAGGGGTGGGCCAGTCCCAAGCCGACCAGCAGCCAAGAACTCCGTTCAGGTTTCCCTTGTGGGTGGCAGGGTCCAAGCACTCGGGCTGTCCTCCATTGCCTTCTCCGGTATGTCAGCAGGGAGCTGGATGAGAAGGAGAGCAGTGGACACTCCGATATGGATGCTTCGGTCACAAGCGCTGCTTAACTCACTTCTCCACAATGGTGGCCCATATTTATTTATTGCTTACCCTCTGCACCCCATCCTGCCCAGAAACTAATCTTGGAGTCACTTAAAAGTTTTTTATTCTGATTTTCATTTCCTTTCCCCTTAATTTTAGTTTTTCTCTTATAAATTCCTTCCTGTTGATGTGGATATAACTTTGATGACTACAAATTAGAAACTTTGTTCCTAGTCAGTGTATGTAGATCTCAGTTTACTTACATGTAGACTTAGTAGTTGAATTAAATAATGTCAAAGGAGCTGATGTCTCAGGGGGTTTTTACTTTTTTATTATTATTTTTAAAGATTCATTTATTTATTTGAAAGGTGAAGAGGCAGAGAGAGAAAGAAAGAGGTCTTCCATCTGCTGGTTTATTCCCCAAATGCCCACAACAGCCGGAGCTGGGCCAATCCAGAGTCAGGAGCTTCTTCCAGGTCTCCCATGTGGGTGCAGGAGCCCAAGGACTTGGGCCATCTTCTACTGCTTTCCCAGGCCATAGCAGAGAGCTGGCTTGGAAGTGGAGCAGCTGGGACTTGAACCAGCACCCATATGGGATGCCAGCACTTCAGGTGGTGGCTTTACCAACTATACTACAGTGCTGGCCCCATCCCAGGAGTTTTAATATTGATAGATTTTTTTTTTCCCCAGCTAGTAGTTCTCTTTGTCCTTTGAAAACCCAAATATTAACAGGGGTACGTTGTAGTAAATAAAGAATTGTATATATGATGGCCTCCAAGCTCACTCATATTTACTGTCTCCACATTTCTCATTTCAAAACCCACCAAGTTGTTTGAAGGTAGAATTCATGAAAATAATTACTTATAATTAATTGAATTTATTTTCATTATCCTCTTAATGGTTAAGATTATATTTAACATCAAATTTTGCTTGTTCTGAACATTCATTTATAGAGTTTTTTAGTCACAGTGATCAAAATAATCAGTTTATCTATTAATTGTTTTTCTTATAAATCATGTAAGTACAGTAGGAGTAGTAAAATCTGCTGTTTCAAGTGTTACAAATTGAGCAGTTTACTTATTTTGTTTGTTTTGACTGCCACCTGCTGGCCAAATACAAGCATTCATTGGTGCCCGCCTTAGTTTCAGACATTATATTATTAAAGTGATTAGATGAATTTTGTCTTTACTATCCCAATTAAGCAAGATCCAAGGCAAAAACAGATTTCCTATACTATCCAACGCCATTTTTTCCTTACCAAATTATGTCTCGGGTATCCATTTTACTTTTTTCTTTTTAAGTATTTGAGAGGTAGAGTTGCAGAGAGAGGAAAAGAGAGAGAGATCTTCCATCTGCTGGTTCACTCCCCAAATGGCTGCAACAGCCAGAACTGAGCCGATCCGAAGCCTGAAGCTTCTTCCAGGTCTCCCACGTGGGTTTAGGGTCTCAAGCGTTTAGTCCATCTTCTGCTACTTTCCCAGGCCATAAGCAGAGAGCTGGACCAGAAGAGGAACGGAGGGACTTGAACCAGTGCCCATATGGTATGCTGACGTCATAAGAGGACAGTGAAAAACATGTTTTTCAAGAACAGTACTTTTTACTTCGTTTCTGGTGGCACTATAGCAAGGTTTCTGAGCCAAAGTCCTATTTCAGATTTTAGCACAGGTAATTCTTGACTGTGGGGGACAGTGTTTTACATTGTACGAGATGTTTAGTAGTATCCCTGGACTTCTGCCCGCCAGATAACAAGAATGTGTCTCAGCTGTGGCTACACAAAATTCTTTCAAACGTGACCAAAAGCTCCTGGGATATAAAATCTTCCTCAACATAAGGATCAACACATTATCATAACTCCTTATAATCTGGCCAGTTAGTAACGCCTCTAAACTAAAGTATGTACAATATGGGGGCAGAGATAGGTGATTCTGTAGCTTATTTATCCAGCAAAGGTGTGTACAAAGTTCATCCACAAACGAAGGGACAATTGATGAGAAAGTCGACAATTTCAGGGGCAGACCTTTGGCGCAGAGTTAGGCTGCATTGTACACTAGCGAGCCTGGTAGAGGTCACAGCTCTGTGCTGATGTGCACATGGGAGGCAGCAGGTGAGGGCTCGGGTACTTGGGTCCCTGCCACCCGTGTGCGAGACCCAGAATCAGCTCCTGGCTTCAGGTGGGCCCAGTCCTCCTGGCTTGTTGCAGGTCATCTGGGGAGCAGATGGGAGATCTGTCTCTCTGCCTTTCAAATAAAATGGAAATAAGTTAAGATTTTTTTTAATGAAAGGAAACACTATAGGAGCAGTTTTACTATTTGCTGCTTCATCATCAGGCAGAATCCAATTACAGTTATAGGAAAGAATTAGGAAGAATTCAGAGAGAAACACAAAATAGCAAGAGTAAGCAAGTACAGATGAATAGAGAAAAGTCAAAGAGTCAGTTTTGGTGATGTGACAGTTTTGATTTCATCTCTAAGTAGTACAACAGTTTGTAGAATGTTGTTTATCAGTAGCTTCTAGCCACAGGAACTCTCTGCTGTCTCGTATCAATTACTGTAAGAAGTATATGCTTCCTTTTTAAAAAAGGTACATCAATTGGTTCTTTTGTCTGTGTTGGTTTTCTTTCATAAACAGGTATATGTCTAACAGCTTTTCTTCCTTAAAGTCATTCATACTTACCTCTTGTAATCATTTTACTTCATAAATGAATTTCATATGGGTGGCTACATCTGAAAGTGGTTTCCTGAAGTTCCAGATAGTTGTCAATAAGTTATCTACAAAATAAGTCAGTAAAATTAAGTAAAGTTAGGAGAGAAACTTTTTACAACAGTCTATTAAAAATAAATTCAAATAACCACATGCTAACATATCCTGTCATACCATTTTATAGTTTACAAAATGAATTCACAGATGTTAACCTCATTCATTCTCAAAGCAGTTTGCTCTGAGATACACAGCTGGCAGTAAAAGTGGCGTATAACCTAGCAAGGAATATGAACATAGATTCCCCAGTGAAATCATTTTTTGTTTCCTTATGCTGTTCTGCTTCTCTAACCCTGTGTATTACCTATAAATACTACTTCAGAAAACTTTACATTAACCTTAGAATTTATTCTGGGAAGATTAAAAAGAGTTTTGATCAGAATCCAGAAAAATAATGAGTTATAGTGTGGACTGCCTTATCTGAAAATGAAGATGGTATTATTTGTGTCTTATCCCACTGTGAAATTTAGAATTATCAGTGGAAATGTCTTCGTATTATTCAAGAGAAAAAATGCGATTTCAAAAGAAGCTTTGAACACCCTGACATCAGGGAAGAGGATTATATACTCCCCTCTCTCTGCCCTTCTCCCCTGGTTTTTTAGCAGGAGCTGTGCTTATGAGCAATAATGTTTTCATGATCTATTTCCTAAGTAAATCAGGCATACTAGCATAGGGATGTTAAAATTAGAAAATTCACATTAATTTTGCTGAGTAGGAAGGTGAAGTAAAACATACTGGTTTGAAACTTTGATGCTTGTTTTCTTTCTAATGCAGCTTTTTTGTTTACTTTTTCCAAAAGATTTACCATGCTTTTTATTAATATACTCAGTAAAATTAAAATTTATCAATGTAGAACAGGATACTTCTAATAACTAGTTTCTACAAATCTGAACTTTGTATTTCCTTACAACTCACAAAACATAAAATCAAGCAGTCTTGCACAGCATTGTACAAGAAGTAATGCGCAGCATTAAGCTTAAGCAAGCACCATACCCTCGAATGCCTGTAAAACCTCGTCTGAACTAAGATTAGTGATTGATTCATAATAAAGTAATTTGCATAATTACTTTACGTAAAATATTTTGTACTTTAAATACAAAAATTACATTCCACGTTATGTATGAATGTTGTCTACGTATCTAGTTATGATGTCTGCTCTCCGTATTACAGTCTGCTGCAAATTCTGAGACTGCGAACTCAACCATCTCCAGAGAGGCCGGCACCCAGTCCTCATCAGCTACAGCCAACCAAGGCTATGTTTTACCAGAAGGCAAAATCATGCCGAACACTGTTTTTGTTGGTGGAATTGATGTCAGGGTATTGTATTCATAGTTCATTTACATTTTAAAATACGTTGGGAGTAATGGAAATTTGGTTCTGTTGCACACTCAAGGTTTCTGTATTTTGTGTAGAATTGGTTTTGTGTTTAACCTAAAGGAGCTAAAAATACCATTGAGAAAGAGCTACAGGTCTTTGGGGATACTTGGAGGAAATAATTCACATCATAAAACCCCCCTTTATAGTAGAATTTAAAGTTTCAAATGCTGAATTTTCACTTTTGAAGTTCAATCTTTTCCATAGATGGATGAAACTGAAATTAGAAGTTTCTTTGCTAGATATGGTTCTGTTAAAGAAGTGAAGATAATCACGGATCGAACTGGTGTGTCCAAAGGGTGAGTAAAATTAACGTTCACCTTAAATTACCAAAAATTTCTGAATTTTTTTTTTTTTGATAGGCAGAGTTAGAGAGAGACAGAAAGGTTCCATTGGTTCACACCCCCAAAATGGCCGCTACAGCCAGCATGCTGTGCCAGTCCGAAGCCAGGAGCCAGGTGCTTCTCCTGGTCTCCCATGCAGGTGCAGGGCCCAAGGACTTGGGCCATCCTCCACTGCCTTCCCGGGCCACAGCAGAGAGCTGGACTGGAAGAGGAGCAACCGGGACAGAACCGGTGCCCCAACTGGGGCTAGAACCCTGGGTATCAGTGCCGCAGGCAGAGGATTAGCCTAGTGAGCCGTGGCGCCAGCCAAAAATTTCTGAATTCTAAAGTCTGGCATCCGGACATATGAATGAAATGTGTTCCTTTGTTAATTTCTTTCTTGTAGTAGAGAAAAATTTGTTGCCAGCTCTTTAATAATTAGTTTCCTGTTTGTATTTCCTTTCTTTATTTGACACAAGTGGATAGTTGATTTTATCAAATAATTATTTCTTTGCATGCTTCACAGAATCTTAAATTTTAACCCTCTTGCTGTAGGTAATAAGTTAAATTCATATTTATAGGACTGTTATGTTAGAAATGGAGTTCTCATGCTACCTTAATCTTAATACATTCTGACATAGATTAGGTTTTAAAAAATGGAAAGTAGTAGTGTTTATAGAGGATCTATCACATCTCAAAAATATTTAGCACAGTATATTACCTTTTATCATGATCTTTTCTATTATTTCATAGAATACTAGATATTATAAACCATTTACTATACGAAGATGATTTGACATTTCATTTATCTATCTTTCTAGCTATGGATTTGTTTCGTTTTATAATGACGTGGACGTGCAGAAGATTGTAGAAGTAAGTAATCTTCGTATGCAGAAATTCCTTATTTAGCTCATTGATGTAGTGTTTAGTAAGTTCTGAACATGCTCAGTCTTGTGAAACATGCAGAGGAAGATAACACTCAACATTCAAATCCAAACTTAGAATAATCTTGCATAACATGTCAGAACCTGTTTTATTTTTGATTGGGTATTTAGCTTCAAGAACTAGAGATAGGAAGAATTAGAGCCAAGGTGATAGCTTTTTTTTAAAACATTTTTTATTTATTTGAAAGAGTTACAGAGAGAGGTAGAGAGAGAGAAAGAGATCTTCCATCTGCTGGTTCGCTACTCAAATGGCTGCAACTCCTGGAGCTGAGCTGATCAGAAGCCAGGAGCTTCTTCCGGGTCTCCCATGCGGGGGCCATCCTCTGCTGCTTTCCCAGGTGCATTTGCAGGGACCTGGATCAGAAGTAGAGCAGCCAGCACTCAAAATGGTGTCCATATGGGATGCCGGTGCTACAGCCTGGGACTTTAACCCACTGTGCCATAGCGCCGGCGCCAGATAGCTTTTTGATCAAATTCTGCTTGACAGCTGATTGGAGTAGTAAAGGGGAAAGTTGACAAATTTTGGTTTGATGTATTTTTATCACTGTTTCTCTGTCTCTCTCTCTCACTCTCACTCTCTCTCTCTCTCTCATAAAGATTTATTTATTTAAAAGAGTTACAGAGAGAGGGAGAGACAGAAATCTTCTATACACTGTGTTACTCCCCAAATGGCCACAACAACCATGGCTGAGCCAGACCTAAGCCAAGAGGCATAGCTTTATCCAGGTCTCCCATGTGCTTGAGCCATCTTCCACTGCTTTTTGCCAGGCTGTTAGCAGGAAGCTGGATCAGAAGTGGAGCAGTCAGGATTTGAACCCACACCCGTATGGATGCCAGTGTCAAAGGCTGTGGCTTGAGGCTGGCACTGTGGCGTAGCGGGTCACCTGCAGTGCCAGCATCCCATATGGGTGCTGGTTCAAGTCCCAGCTGCTCCACTTCCAATTCAGCTCTCTGCTATGGCCTGGGAAAGCAGTAGAAGATGGGCCAAGCCCTTGGGCCCCTGCACCCACATGGGAGACCCAGGAGAAGCTCTTGGCTCCTGTTTTCGGCTCAGCACAGCTCCAGCCATTGTGGGCATCTGGGGAGTGAACCAGCGGATGGAAGACCTCTCTCTCTCTGCCTCTCCTTCTCTCTCTGTGTAACTCTGACTTTCAAGTGAATAAATAAATATTTTTTAAAAAAAGGCTGTGGCTTTATCTGCTTTGTCACAATGCTGGCCCCCGTCTCTGATCTCTTCTAGTAGGAACTTTAGAGGACTTTGGGGATGTTCACAAGTGTTGGAAGTAATGATTGGAAAATTGATTCTAGTGTCTGTTACTGTTTTATTTTCAGTCACAGATAAATTTCCATGGTAAAAAGCTGAAACTGGGCCCTGCAATCAGGAAACAAAATTTATGTGAGTAAAAAAATAAATTGCTGATGTTTTATTTTTCAGAGAACTAAAAATAAGTTTCTTTTTTTTTTTTATTTTCTTAAAAGGTGCTTATCATGTGCAGCCACGTCCTTTGGTTTTTAATCCTCCTCCACCACCACAGTTTCAGAGTGTGTGGAGTAACCCAAACACTGAAACTTACATGCAGCCTCCAACCATGATGAATCCAATAACTCAGTATGTTCAGGTGAGAATTACCTACGTTCCTGTTCATTCAATCTAGTCTTTACCATCTGTGGAAGTGCAGTAATAAGTGGTAATATAGTCCCTGTTTAGATACTTCGAGTGATAGGTAGTCTGACTTTTGCTAGAAATCTCTCATTCTTCGTGTTTTTCCTTACACTAAGCCGAAGTCTGCTTCTGTACAGTTGGTAAGCCTTTGTCTTTTTTTTTTTTTTTTTTTTGACAGGCAGAGTGGACAGTGAGAGAGACAGAGAGAAAGGTCTTCCTGCGCCATTGGTTCACCCTCCAATGGCCGCCATGGCCAGCAAGCTGCGGCCGGCGCACCGCGCTGATCCGAAGGCAGGAGCCAGGTGTTTATCCTGGTCTCCCATGGGGTGCAGGGCCCAAGCACTTGGGCCATCCTCCACTGCACTCCCTGGCCACAGCAGAGAGCTGGCCTGGAAGAGGGACAGAATCCGGCGCCCTGACCGGGACTAGAACCCGGTGTGCAGGCGCCGCAAGGCAGAGGATTAGCCTAGTGAGCCGCGGTGCCGGCCAAACCTTTGTCTTAGAACTGACCTCTAGCCACATAGAACATATTTTCCCCTCCATACAGTGATTCTTAAAATATTTAAAGGCAGCTTTCTTCACTTATCTTTCTAGTTTGTTCTTTAAAGTTTAGCAATTTTTCTAGCCATCTTTATTTGTAATAATTTCCAGATGCTTCTTCATACAGATTGTTGACTTCTGGATATATTCTGGTTCTCAGATGGGTAACTTTCTGGTGTATTTCAGTGTATTTGTAAACCCTGTGACTTTGTGGTATAGAATGGGATTTGGTATGCTTACTCTATCCTGTTCATAAATAACATTTATTTTTTAGTTCATTTTACTTTCCTTGTTTTGAAGATATTGCCTTTGCCAGAAAAAAATAATAGTGAGGTCATTCTATATTGTCTCTCTTTTGTTTACATTTTTCATCTATTTAAAACATAGGGTATGTCTTTTCTTATTTTTCTTGCTCTAAACATGGCTAGAAAGAAAAAGCCATACTTGTTCCTAACATTTACCAAGAGCTGTGATCTATTCTGAGTATTCATGCTATTGCTTACATGTTTTTAATCAACAAATATTAATTAAACATGTGTGATACCATATTATCTCTTTTCCAGTTTTAGATAGTATTCTGCCCTTAATTTTTAGAAATGAAATACAGAAAAACTATAAAGTCCATAGAAGGACTACACATAATGTGATAGTATTGTCAAAGGATTATAAAACCATCTAAAAGTATTTTTAAAAAGAAATAACACAGGGCCGGCACTGTGACTCAGCAGGAAAAGCTGCCGCCTGCTGTGCCAGCATCCCATAAGGGTGCCTGTTGGAGTCTCGGCTGCTCCACCTCCAATCTAACTCTCTGCTGTGGCCTGGGAAAGCATTAGAAGATGGGCCAAGTCCTTGGGCCCCTACCTGTGTGGGAGACCTGGAAGAAGCTCCTGGCTCCTGGCTTCGGATTGGCCCAGCTCTGGCCATTGCAACCATTTAGGGAGTGAACCAGCAGATGGAAGACCTCTCTCTCTCTCTTTCTTTGCCTCTACCTCTGTAACTCTGCCTTTCAAATAAATAAATAAATAAATCTTAAAAGCAAGCAAGCAAGCAAAGGGATTAATTTGACATAGGGTTTAGAACCTTATCACCAGTGGAAGAAAGAACTTCTGGGTAGGGATAGATATGCACAGGAGATAAACTTAGGTCACTTATCTTGTCATTCATTCTTTTCTCCTCCCCTGCTCAAAAAGAATACTTTGTATTATGAAGTTAGTTAATCATTTAAAATTCGACATTGTTATATATAATATAATGAGTATTTCTTAATTTTCATATTTTTGTTATATTGGGAATAATATTCTTTCCTATTTCTTTTTAAGTTTACCTTATTAATCCAGTTTTTCTGTAAACTTTGTTTTTCAGGCATATCCTCCTTACCCAAGTTCACCAGTTCAGGTCATCACTGGATATCAGCTGCCTGTTTATAACTATCAGGTAATTTAAGAGGGAACAAGTGGATTTACTTCGGGATGTTGTTGAGGCTTTTAATTTATTTGTATAAATCTTCCATGTAGTTTGTCATTTAAACTAGGGAAATGTGTCTAAAATTAAAAAAAATCTAGAATTAAGGCCTTTATATTATTTAGAAACAATGAAATAATTTGGACAGGAATGTACTTAACAAGAACTTTTCTCTAGGACTATTTTCTAAGATTTGTTGGCTCATATTTTTTAAAAAAATTAGTTTATTCATTTGAAAGAGTGACAGGAAACAACTGAGAGCTTTTGTTCACTGATTCATTGCCCAAATGCCCACAACAGTGAGGACTGGACCAGGCCAAAGCCAGAAGCCCAAGTCCTGGCACCATCCTCAGCTGTCTTGGTCAGTGCATAAGTAGGAAGTTGGATGGGTAGCAAAGTACCGGACACTCACACTGGCACTACGGTGGCTTTACAGCACTGTGCCACAACGCCTTCTATATTTTAACATTTGTTCTTCCATTTTTGCCATCAAATATCTAAAGTATCTAGACTGGCTTTTATAAAATTTTTCTAAGAAAATAAGATGAAATAAAATCAGTCTTATTTTTATAACTCAGAATTTTTATTAAATTTGATAGTGTTTATTTTAGCTGGCAAAATCATAGTTTTCTGAATTTCACCTCATAGATAAAGCCATATCTATGACCTGTGATCCTTGCTATGGGAATAAATTTAAAGAAATACAATCTTTGAGTTTTCCTGAATGTCACCTTCAGAAAACTGAGAAAAAGGTGAGGTTTATATATAGTGGTGACAGTAATCCCAGGTATTAGAAACAGAAAATATTTTTCTTTCATTCTGTTTCTTTTATTTACTATTTTTTTCAAGATTGATTGATTTATTTGAAAGGTACAGTTACAGACAGAGAAAGGGAGAGACAAAGACAAGGGTCTTCCATTTGCTGATTGACTCCCCAAATGGCTGCAATGACCAGAGCTGAGCCAGTCCGAAGCCAGGAGTTTCTTCCGGGTATCCCACGAGGTTGCAGGGGCCCAAGCATTTGGGCCATCTTCACTGCTTTCCCAGACCATAGGCAGAGAGCTGCATTGGAAGAGGAGCATCAGCCCTCAGGCTGGGGCCCATATGGAATGCCTGTGCTGCAAGAGGAGGCTCAATGCTACTACGCCACAGTGGCGGTCTCTTTATTAGAACTAACTAAAGGATCCAGTGTGATAAATGCTTCTGTATTATCTTATGTCTTTGTGAAAATGTATAAAAATATTGGAATAATTTTTGTTTTGTTTTGTTTTGTTTTCAAGATGCCACCACAGTGGCCTACTGGGGAACAAAGGAGTTATGTTATACCTCCGGTAAAATGAATTGAAATGAGTATATCTTATTCTTTATTTTATCATGTACATATTGAATGTATTAGGCCTTTTGTCATATTGTAAGCCTAAATATATATTTTAAAGATGGATATATTTGGAAGGCAGAGCAACAGAGATTGGGAGAGACATCTTCCATCTGCTAGTTTATTCCCCACTTGGCTGCAACAGCCAGGTCTGGGCCAGGCTGAAACCAAGAGTCAGAACCTCCATCCTGGTCTCACACTGGGGACAGGGACGCAAGTGACTGGGCTGTCATCTTCCTTACCAAGCAGTCTAACAGGAAGCTGGCTTGGAAGTGGAGTAGCTACAACTCAAATTGGCATTCTAACAAGTATACCAGCTTTGCAAGCAGCGACTTAACCTGCTACAAATATTTTTCAGTGCCTCTTTATATTATGTGCTGTGTTTTCTTAATTTCTTGTTTTACTGAGTATATGCTCCCATGGGAAAGTACTTTTTATTTCTTGTGTTTTCCTGTGTTTAAGCAAGGGCTGTTCTGCATATGAGAAGTGCTCTGGTAGCTGTTGATAGAATATGTAATCCAAGAAAAATATTAATACACATTTAGAATTAGCATTAAATCTGCCTAGCATCTACTGCTGGTTCTGCTACTCATAAAACATCTGATGGAGAGAAACAAACTAATGGTATTAGTACCATTAAATAAGAAAAGGAATAAGACAAAAGGGAGTACTACCTCTGAAACACCTCAGGGTTGGATGTTTGAAGGATAGAGTTAATGGTTATATAATTTTCAGGCACTCCCTTACTTCGACTTAGAATTTATTTTTCTTGGAGTCCTCCTGATTCTGATTATGTTGATGCCTAGAAAAAAAAATGTAAAATAAAATGCTGCCTCACTGCTTTGGAATATTCAGTTTCAAACTTGAAATAATGTAATTGAATTTCAACTTTAAAATACACCTGTACAACTTAGAACTGTACCTCTACTTTTGTCATTTTTAATGTAGGCTTATGCAGCTGTGAACTACCACTGCAGTGAAGTTGACCCAGGCGCCGAAGTGTTGTCGAGCGAATGCTCAGTTCACGAAGCTGCTCCATCCCCGGGAAATGGCTCGCAGAAGGCAAACATCTGATTTTATTGATTCGTGTTAATATTTCATATTTATATTTTCAGATTTTCATTAATGACCCTTTGAGAATCAGGCATTTCATTTTTTTAAAAGAAGATTTGTTTATTTATTTGAGAGTCAGAGTTACACAGATAGAGTTACACAGAGAGAGAAGGAGAGGCAGAGAGAGAGGTCTTCCATCACTGGTTCACTCTGCAATTGGCCACAATGGCTGGAGCTGCACCAATCTGAAGCCAGGAGCTTCTTTCGGGTCTCCTACACAGGAGCAGGGGCCCAAGGACTTGGGCCATCTTTTACTGCTTTCCAGGCCGTAGCAAGGAGCTGGATTGGAAGTGGAGCAGCCAGGACTCGAACCCCAGGCCCTTATGGGATGCCGGCCCTGCAGGCAGCAGCTTTACCCACTACGCCACAGTGCCAGCCCCAAGCATTTCCTTTTTAAAGGTGGAAGTCATATAATACAGAGCTTAAGTAATTGACTAACATTTAGCCGTTAATGTACAGGCTGATAAAATTTCAGATACCCTTACACTTTCAGTGCATACACAGTTTCTGATTCAGTAGTAGGCCTTTCTTTTCCAATTTGTTTTTGTTTCTTTGATCATATGTTAATAAATATTAATAGGATTCTTTGTTTAGCTAAAAAGTAATACATATTAATTATGGCGTTCTCCTAACATTATATATGTTGGAAGCAATTCTCAAGAGTGGCGCAGCACTAGTTACACAAATATGGAAGTAGGCAGAGTTGCTTTTCTTCTTATCAGAAGAGTGGGCTCCTACGATAATAATCTGACTTTTGAATTCAAATGTGTTTTGTTAAATGGGTAGGAGTGGCTCACTTGGCTAATCCTCCGCCTGCAGTGCCGGCACACTGGGTTCTAATCCCAGTCGGGGTGCCGGATTCTGTCCCGGTTGCCCCTCTTGCAGTCCAGCTCTCTGCTGTGGCCAGGGAAGGCAGTGGAGGATGGCCCAAGTACTTGGGCCCTGCACCCGCATGGGAGACCAGGAGAAGCACCTGGCTCCTGGCTTCGGATCAGCACTGTGCGCCAGCCGCAGCCCGCTGGACGCGGCGGCCATTGGAGGGTGAACCAACGGCCAAGGAAGACCTTTCTCTCTGTCTCTCTCACTGTCCACTCTGCCTGTCAAAATAAATAAATAAATGGGTAGGAGTGTAAAAGTAGTTGGTGTGCTAGGAACGTGTACAACACTGAATGATTCCCATCTTGTAGTGTGAACTTCATCAAAGTGTTTGCAAAAAAAAAAAAAAATTTTTGAGAGCTACTGAATCATAAAATGAAAAAAGTTCCTTGGTTTGATTCATAATTTAAAAATTTGAAAAAAACGTTAAAAGTACTTTATGGTACAGTTGTATAGTTGGTTTTGACCTGAGTATTTTTTTAAAAGAATACTAGCATTCACTATTTCTTATCTTAACAGGAAGAATTAAAGAGCTTTAAGCAAAATATCCTAGGGTTTTAATAAATTGAGTTTTTTAAACCAGTATCCTGGCATTAAGATTCTAAAATACTTCAGTTTGGCAGAAAACTTAAGTGAGGTGGTAAGAATTAGGAATTGTGTAATTCTTTAGAAATAAATGTTGTATGTTGATGAAACTTTTTAAAAAGTTTTACAGTGAGTAAGACAGTCTTTAGAGAAGTAATGAAAACTTCTGTATTTCAGAAATCTGTGGACCGAAGCATACAGACAGTGGTATCTTGTCTGTTTAATCCTGAGAACAGGCTGAGAAACTCCCTTGTTACTCAAGATGATTACTTCAAGGTATGTGAGGAATGATATGCAGGATAAAAATTAGATAGGTTGGCTTTGAAGTATGCTTTTTTCCTGTGGTATGTGTGTTTCAGAATATTCCGAGCATGTTAATGGACTGTTGGCGTTTGACTGTAACCCAGTCAGTCACAGTGAGTGGGCCTTAGCTGGCAGTGTACTTGATGCCACTCAAATCTTGGTAGAGTACTTTGTCTTCAGGGAAGAAGCCTTTAGCTGAAGCTTGTAATTGAAAGGGTTCATGAAACAAGAGAAAACATTGACTTACCAATTAGTAAAAAAAAAAAAAAAAAAAGAGCAGCATTGAATACATGGGTGTTGACTGAAGAGAACAGAAGAAATGGATCACTCAGATGATGTTCCTAAACAGTGTGCAAGAAGAAGAGGGTGAAGTGCTGTGAAAACAGCTGAGAGAAGAGACGTGGAAGTTGATCCAGTGCTGTAAGGTGGAAGACTGGGTATTTGAATTTTTAGGAAACCCGCTTCTGCTCTTGCTTCTCGGGTCCACTTTGGACAGATCATTTGAATCTGACTGAGGCTCCAGTTCTTACAAGTGTAAGTGAAGAGGTGGTACAGGACTACAGGTCCCTAAGGTCCTTTAGTTCCAAGTTTTTGAATGTGAAACTAACTCAAACACTGTGTTTAGAAAGGGAAGCCCGGCCGGCGCCGCGGCTCACTAGGCTAATCCTCCGCCTAGCGGCGCCAGCACACCGGGTTCTAGTCCCGGTCGGGGCGCCGGATTCTGTCCCGGTTGCCCCTCTTCCAGGCCAGCTCTCTGCTGTGGCCCAGGAGTGCAGTGGAGGATGGCCCAGGTGCTTGGGCCCTGCACCCCATGGGAGACCAGGAGAAGCACCTGGCTCCTGCCTTTGGATCAGCGCAGCGCACCAGCCGCAGCAACCATTGGAGGGTGAACCAACGGCAAAGGAAGACCTCTCTCTCTCACTGTCCACTCTGCCTGTCAAAAAAAAAAAAAAAAAAAAAAAAAAGGGAAGGCTTTTCTTTTTTTTTTTTTTTTTTTTCAGTGAAAGGTTTGTTGAGATGCAGGTACCTTAGAGTTCACACATTTAAAGTGTACGATTCATTTTTTTCTTAGTATATTTACAGAATTTTGTGACCATGATTCCAGTCAATTTTAGTTACTTTAGTAACCCCCAAAATAAACTATCAGTACTCTTCATTTCTCCCCAACTCTGCTATTATAGCCTTAGGCAACCACAAATTTACTTTCTTCAAGGACTTTTTTATTCTAGACATTTCATAGAAATAGAATCAGGCAGTATATGACCTTAAAGTTCATCTGTGTTACAGCACATACCAGTATCTTTTATTATTTATTTGAAAGAGTAACAGAGGGAGAGGCAGAGAGAGAGAGCTCTTCCATCAGATGGCTACAATGGCCAGGGCTGGGTCAGGCTAAAGCCAGGAGCCAGGAGCTTCTTCCAGGTCTGCCACATGGGTGCAGGGGCCCAAGCACTTGGGCCATCATCTGCTGCTTTCCCAGGAGCATTAGCAGGGAGCTGGATTGGAAGTGGAGCAACCAGAACATGAACCAATGCCCATATGAGATGCCAGCGCTGCAGGCGGCAGCTTTACCCACTACACCACAGTGCCAGCCCCATCAGTATGTCTTGTCTTCTTTCAGCGTGGTATGGTAACTATGTTTTAACATTTTGAGGAACTGTCAGAGTTTGTCCAAAATGGCTGTACTATTTTATATTCAAAGGAAATATTTTAACCATTACTTTGTGTCTTTTTAAACAGAAGAAAGAATAGCTTTTTTTTAACCTATGAATGAACATAGAATGAAGCTTAAAAATGACTTTTTTTGTGAAATATATTAAGGACCTCCATTAATGCAGAAGAGTAGAACCATAACAGAGAGTAAGCATAATTCATTTAAAGTTGGTGTTTGTTCCTTTCTGCATAAACAGTATACTTCAGAAAGGAAAGAACTGGAGTTGTATGACAGCCTACCTTGCCCAAAATTCTTGAAGATTATTCTTTATTTTTTTAATATTTATTTATTTATTTATTTATTTAAAAGGCAGAATTAGAGAGAAAGGTCTTCCATCTGCTGGTTCACTTCCCAAATGGCCACAACAGCTGAAGCTGGGTTGAACTGAAGCCAGGAGCTTCTTCCAGGTCTCTCACATGGGTGCAGGGGCCCAAGCACTTGGGCCATCTTCTGCTGCTTTTCCAGGAGCATTAGCAGGGAGCTGGATTGGAAGTGGAGCAACCAGAACATGAACCAGTGCTCATAAGGGATGCAAGCACTGTAGGTGGTGGCTTTACCAGCTATGCCACAGCGCCAGCCCCAAAAGTATTCTTTTTTTTTTTTTTTTTTTGTTAAGATTTTATTTGTTTATTTGAAAGAGTTACAGAGAGGCAGAAAGAGAGAGAGAGAGAAACAGAGGTCTTCCATTTGCTGGTTCACTCCCCAGATGGCCACAACAGCCAGAGCTGAACTGATCCAAAGCTAGGAGCTTCCTCTGGGTCTCCCATGCAGGTGCAGGGGCCCAAGGACTTGGGCCATCTTCTGCTGCTTTCCCAGGCCACAGCAAGAGAGCTGGATCAGAAGAAAAGCAGCCAGGTTTCGAACAGGTGCCCATATGAGACACTGGCACTGCAAGGTGGCAGCTTTACCCACTGTGCCACAACACCAGCCCCCAAAGAAAGTATTCTTTAAACTTGAGTTTTCACGTTTTACTAGACAAAGCTTTCCTTTGAATTCCAGAGTTTTCTGTTCCCTTGGCTAGAAGTCAGAAGTTGGCAGCCTGTAGTTATCTGGCATCTAGAGCTATTTTGTCTGGCTAAGTGTTGTTTTTCATTGTTTCTATTGAAATTGAATGCATCCAAGCATTTGAATGCACTTACTGTTTGCACAGAAAATTATCATACTTTCGCAATCTTAAGTTTCCAACCTGACCTCTGAAGATAAATATATCCGTTTATGACCACTTTTTTATTTATCATTTTTTTTTAAGAAGGCAGAGTTACAGAGAGATGAAGAGATAGAGAGGCCTTCCATCTACTGGTTCACTCCCCAAATGGCCACAACAGCTGAAACTGGGCCGATCTGAAGCCAGGAGCTTCTTCTAGGTCTCCCATGTGGGTGCAGGGGCCCAAGCACTTGGGCCATCTTCCACTGTTTTCCTAGGCCACAGCAGAGAGCTAGATCAGATGAGGGGCAGCAGGACATGAACTGGCGCCCATATGTGATATCGGCACTGCAGGCAGAGGTAGAGGCTTAGCCACAGCACTGGCCTGACCACTTTTCTAGGCTATAAACTAAGTAGGATATTACTCTGCTGACGGATTATAATCTCCAGAAGTCACCTTTGCTTACATGACAACTTGATTTAATCCCCAGGAAAATAATAGTTAAGTCAACTATGTAGAGAAGAAAATACTGTTAGGTTACACTGGCTTACTCAGCCCATTGTCTCTGTAAGGGCTCCCCTCTTACATCCACGTCTGTCTGCAACATAGAATGAGAGGAGAATTGTGTGAGTACAGTCAATCCCTGTGTCCACAGATCCAGTACCCATAGGTGCCACATCTGTGCATTCAGCCAACCACAGAGCAAGGCTATTTTTTTAAAGTTGCATTTGTAGTGAACATGTACAGACTTTATTTGTTGTTATTCCTTAAACAGTACAGTGTAACAGCTGTTCCTATTGCACTAGATATTATAAGTAATTTAGAAGTGATTTAAAGTATGAAGAACATGCACAAGTTACATGCAAATACTACTGCATTTTATGTAGAGGGGACTTGAGCCTCAGAGTTGGCTATCCGAGAGGGGTCCTGAAACCAGTCTCCTTGAGGGGATACCAAGAGATGACTCTGGCTTAGAGTTTTCCTGTTCATTCCTAGAGAATCACACATTCTCACAGGCTGAGGGCACATCTTTAAAAATGCCAAAACTTACATCTTTTATCCTAAAACGTGTGATTTCAGATTGAAGTGATAGAGTACCGTTTCAACCCATGATTTCTACAAGATGAAATATAGTCAGTAAAAGCAGCACTTTGGAAAATCACATACTTCTGCTGGGTATCTTTGGGATTCACTGCCTAATCACTAATTAGAAGTACATAACATGATATTGCTTCTACGTGCTCTGTTTCTGAGTTGACTGGCATTTCTGTGGTACATTTGTTAGCCCAAAGTTCAAGAATGCTTCCCAGAAAGGATCACTTTTCTCTTATTATTTATAATATTTAACCCCAAAATAAATACTTTTAAGTTTTGCAGGTCTCTTAGGTCAATAGGAAAATTTCAGTGAGTTAAACAAGACTGTTTGTGTCGTTTCTAGGATAAAAGAGTGCATCACTTTAGAAGAAGCCGGGCAGTGCTTAAATCTGTTTGATCCTCCCTGCTAACATTCTGGTCTCATGGAAATTGCCTGGTTTTGAATATTAAGAAGAGACTAAAAATTTTTCACTATTGTAGAACTTAACTCTGAATTTTGATAAATCTGACTCAGACTTTCTGTACGAGTTATGTTAGATTTGTAGTTTTATTTTACATTAAAACTGTTCTTTATTAGATGTTTATTTAGAAACTAGTTCAATGTTCCATATATAGTTGAAAGTAAAAAATAATTGAGACTGAGAGGAATAGCTTTTAAGTTTTATTTGTAAGGATTTTTTAAAATTGAAATTAGCATTTTAAGAGTTTTAAAAGCAACAACTGATTTTCAAACAAATTGTTTTAAAAAGGCTATTTTGAAAGGTCAGAATTTTGGTAGTTTGAATACGAACATTTCACTTCTCCAACAAGTACCTGTGAACAGTACAGTATTTACAGTATTGTGCTTTGCATTCTGATTTGTCTAGAAATTTACCGCAAAAGCAGAAATTTTTAAAACTGCATTTTTAATCAATGGAACTCAATATACAGTTAGCTTTATTGAAGTCTTCCTTATCTAAAACCCAGTAAAACAGATTCTAACAAACAGTCCAATCAGTGGGTCTTATGTTTACTCAAAATATATTTTATTCTTTATCTAGAATCCACCCATATATGTTCTGTTTGATTGGGATGCTAATTAGGATAACTAAAATTCTGGGCCTGATTTTTTTTTTTAAGAATCCGGGACAAACTAAACTTCACTAGGTAGATAAGCTTCTCAGTGAGTTACCATTCTCCTTTTTTTTTTTAAATTTTTTTCTTGAAATGCTACACTCAATGGCTGTATCTTAAATTGTGCAAAATATTGGTATTAAAGGATGCTGAAATTTTTTATGTTACTTAAAGGTTAATCAGAGTATCTGAAGTGAATTGTTTTTATAAAAACACTAGTTACTATATAGTAAATAGATTTTTATTTTTATTATCCTATTATCTTTGCTTTTGTAAAGTAAAATACGTCCAGACTAGTCAAAGTAGGTAGATTTGGCATTTCAAAACCACAAAAGTTGTTATAATTTGTAAGTATATCCAAGCATGTTACAGTCAGATTTAATAAATTGTTTCTAGGTTAGCTGGTCTCTTCATTAGGCGTTGTACCTCATGACGGGTAACTGGAGTACCGAGCCCTTTGCTGTGCCCACTGCCCTTTTTTTAGTCTGTACTGCTATTCTTCTAGGCAGTTCAGTTCTAGAACTGGTAGTGCAGAGAAAGGAGGTAGCAGTTTGAGGAATCAGCCCTGGGGAGGTAGCAACAGGGTAATACCTTCCTCGGGATGCGGTTGTCTCGGCGGCATCTGGCCGGCCAGGGACGTGAGTGTGGAGTGGCTCCCTGGCCTTTCCGCTCTAGAACGTGGAGACTCCATTTATCCCTAACTTAGTGCAGCTGCCACGGCCGTGTCACCAGTGCCCATTGTGGTCTGTAACTCCTCATAATTTTCATTCTGAATCTGAAGGGAAGAATTTTTTTAAGGATTCCCAAGAGGGTGAAATGTGTCCTTTTAAAGATTCTCTATACTTTTTTTAATGCCGTAACATTTTACATACATCTTCTGTGATTAAATTTCCAGCTTTCCATGAATGGTACCTAAATTCTAAAAGAGCCATTCTGATTATCTCAATATAACCTCGAGGAAAAGTAAGGAATAAACTTGTCTGCTCTTTCATTGGAGTGAAATATTTAAAAGAGTGAAGTAGAAAAAAGAGACAAAATCCTGAACCTTTCAAAATGGAAAATTAATTTTAAACTTAAAAATGTGTTTCTCTTACCTATTTCTGATACTGTCTTTGCATAAATGAATAAACAGAAATAAAGAAACTTCTTTTCAAAAGTATTTTGGACCTACTGATTGGGTGGTAGTGTGTGACAAGGTTAGATCTGGAAATTCAGAAGCATAAATGTTCAGTATACTAATCTGGCAAAGCTGGCCTATAAAAGCAAACTTCGGTGCATTGTATTTTTGTCATTTTGTGAAGTCGAGATGAATTTTGATGAGGAAATTCTTGCTGTTTGGAGTTGAAAGTGGCCCAGCGGGTCCCACCACAGTGCATCGGCGGCAGTGGCGAGTGGGGATGCAGGGGCGTGGGGATGCTGGTTAGCACATCCGATGCGGTCACTCATGGCCAGAGGGTCTGGCAGGGAGGATCTCTCGTTTTCGAGCCTGTGAAACATTTTGGATGCTTCATACTTTGGGCCTAACCTTTGACTGTTAATTTGGAGTACTGCAGTTACGTCACAGAGTTTAGATGATTCATATTGCGTTTGCTTCATATAAAGGTACACTCAAAAAAGGTGTGCACTGACCACAAATTTTCCCTTTCAGATGCCTCCTATGGTATATTTTGTCAGTTGGTAAGCTCTTACTATGTGGCTCATTCCCAGAAAATTACAACACCAAGATTCTGTAAGATAGACAAGAGTACCTTTTGAATTCTCAAAGAGGATACATTTTGATGTTTATAATATGCTGAAAATTCCATTAATGTGTGTATATTTGTATGTGTACACGTTAATCATTACCCAGAACATTATCTCCGACAAAACTGAGTGTTACTATTTTCACATCCTGGAAGTAGACTGCAGGATGCCTTAGTTTAAACCTGCCTGATGAAAGCATATTTGCATTCTCGGTAGAAAACCAAGGCAGCATATTTCTGTAAAATATTGAAGGCACAACCCGGCAACCCCAGAAAGATGAGTCACCCCTGTCAAAAGTGTATCCTGCATGTTTTTCCCCTGAAAAACATGGCACCTTTGTTAACCGTTGAGAATAATTACTCCAGTAGCGATCGTCAGGGAAGTCGCTGAACTCGAGCGCGCCACAGCGGTTCCGTGAGAATGCAGGGCCTTTCTGCTGCTCTGAAATTCTTAGTTGTCCTTGCAGGTAAACTCATAGAAACACTTGCTGCGTAGCTTCGTCTCCCTGGCCGCCTCCGTTGCCGTCACGGGAGGGTCGTGAGGAGCGGCAGCCGTGAGGCGGTGTGGCACGCGGCTCTCACAAAGGTGGCAATGGGGAGGGAATCCTAAGGGGAGGCGAGCAGCAGCGTTTGCAGTGGCCGAGGTTGTACAGCTGTCGGGACGGATCATTGGGAATCCGGGAAGACTTGCAGATGAGGATCACGCCTGCACATACTGTGGCAGCTACGCCGTACACTCCTAATGTGTGTAGTATGTGTCTCTGTGTGTAACTGATGGAGCGATTCCTCACCGCCCATCGAAGACTCCCGAATGTTCCATCTGTAGTCAGTGCATTTGGTGGTAGAAAACAATAAACATAAGAAGTTCAAACTATAAACGTGTTTTTCAATGCACATGCAAAATATTCAATCTGCATAGCAAAGAAATGATAGGTAATTCTCCATTGCGTTTAGAGTTAAAAACATCTGTCCAATATGGCTATAGCTGTGGGCCAATCCCAAGAAAATGAAAAAACGTCTCCTGGTACTGAAGCTGAAAGTACCGTTGCACACTTAAGCTCTCTGGCAGCTATATTTTACATTTTAAACTGGTCTGAAACAAAGTTTAGTGGTTGAGCGTCTGGTTCTTTTTCCCAAGGCAAGACTCTGTACCTGTATGCACCTCCATTAAGGCTGCATGCGAGGAATGTGCATTTCCCACGTAGAACTCCCAGGCACCAGGTCCCTGGGTCTTTCTAGAACAAATGCATGACAGGGGTGTTCAGGTTTTGGAAGCTGTAAACTTGAAGCAATAGTAACATTTCAAGCAATTCGGAAAGTTGGAGATTTGATAATCCTTCCTTAGTTCTTTGTTACAAAATACCTGGCAGAGGCACATGAAGATTATCATTGCCATCTATTGTCTTTGCTGAAAATAACATGGATGGGGACACTAGTCTGGATAAGTCTTGAGTGAAACTATCAAGCTCACAATTGTGTAGTGCTAAAACCGGAGCAGCCTTTTTTTTTTTTTTTTTTTTTTTTTTTTTGAGAGGTAGAGTTACAGACAGGTCTTCCATCTACTCGTTCACTCCCCGAATGGTTGCAACAGCCAGAGCTAGGCCAGTCAGAAGCCAGAAGTTTCTTCTCGGTCTCCCACACAGGTGCAAAGACCCAAGGACGTCGGGCCATAGCGGAGAGCTCAGTCAGAAGAGGAGCAGCTGGGACATGAACAGTGCCCAGGTGGGATACTGGCACTGCAGGACGAAGCTTAGCCCGCTACGCCACAGCGCCAGCCCCGGGAGCAGCTGTTAAGGGGTTGCTTGTTAAACTTTGATACTACCCCTGCCCCCTGGACAGATCCAGCTGGGTCAGCGAGAATGGAGAGAGGAGGTGAAACAGGCCACTTTCTGTTTTCACTTGTGCTAACTCCACGCCTCGTGTGTGAACTGCTGTACTATAAAAATGTGGACAGTACTTACTGTCACTTTATACGACAGGTGGAAACAGTTTGCTTCCATCCACTAGTTCAGTCCCCAAATGCCCACAGTAGCCAAGGCTGGACCAGGCTGGAGCCGGGAGCACAGTGTGTGGCGGGGCCCTCCTAGAACACACTGGTAGGAAGCTGAATTGGAAGCGAGGAGCAGGAACTGGAACCAAGCACTCCCATATGGGATGCCTACATCCCAAGTGGAATCATTTATTGACTGACTTATTTGAGAGGTAGAGTTACAGAGGGAGTGACAGAGAAAAAGGTCTCCTGTCAGTTGTTCACTCCCCAAATGTCCACAATGGCTGGAGCTGGGCCGATCCGAAGCCAGGAGCTCCTTCCTGGTCTCCCACGTAGGTGCAGAGGCCCAAGGACATGGGCCATCTTCTACTGCTTTCCCAGGCCACAGCAGAGAGCTGGATCGGAAGAGAAGCAGCTGGAACTCAAACCGGCACCCATATGGGAACCAGAGCCGCAGGCGGAGGATTAACCTGCACCACAGCGCCGGCCCCCAGGTGGAATCTTAAGTGCTGTTCCAAAAACCTCTGCACATTGTTAACTGCCTTTGGGCCTCTGAACACTTTAAAACCTGTCTCCGGACAGGTACTAGAATGTAGAAAAAAAGAAAAGAATGTGAACCTTAATCCTAGCCCCAGTCACTTCCTGAGTGAGCTTGGATGAGCTGCTCCCAGAGTCCCACTTCTTCTTCTTGGGGAAAAAAAAAACCTGCAGGCTTACTTTGAGGTGAAATGGGGCAACATCCCAGTGTGGTCAGCTTCCCTCCATCCCACTCGAGCCCATGTTGGTGTTTTCTAACTTCCACATTTCCATGAACAGAGCCTTTTCGCCGTCCCACGGACAGACTGAGGGGCGGGATGCTGGGTCCTGGGTGTGTTCTGTGCACCTGTGGCAGTAGCAAGCCGCTCATTATGCTGCGGACCTCACAATGAATCTGGAATGGGTCTGCTTTTTCTGGGGGGGAGGGGCATGCATTAACTGAACATCCAGTTAGAAAATAGTTCACACAGAAGTGAGACGCAGTGTTCTTTGGAACATGTCAAAAGTGAGTAAATTTTCTTCTGTAGAATCTTTTTAAAATAATTTGTGGAGGTGAAATTCATGTAAGTTGTACATTCTCAGTGTTGTATAACTACCACTTCTACCTAGTTCTGCAATAGCCCCATCATGCCAAAGAAAATCCCTTACACATTAAGTCATTGCTCATCCTCCTGGGTCCACAGTCCATGGCAACCACCAATGTGCACTCTGTCTCCAGATTTGTCTATTCTGGATAATTCACATAAATAGAATTATACGATTTGTTACCCTTTGTGTCTGTCACTAGGAATTATTCAGGTAGCATAACATTGTAGCATGTATTTGTACTC